CCTCCCCGAAACTTTGGGTCAGATCAATCCTAAAGTCTGGGACGCTTCTACCCCAGTCACTCTACACCATCAGCCCACTGTGGTCACTCTTTCTAATCCTTCGTGTCTCCCCGATTGACCTCAGCATCCCCTTATCCTTATCATCAGTATCACCAATTATCAATCATCTACTAAAAACCTACATTCTTCAACCTACCTCCTCCCCAAGCAACATCCCTATCCTACCGGTCCTCAAATCTGAAGGCAGTCAACAAGGCCATGTCCCCGATACTCCCGTCATCCCAAACCCCTGTACCCTCCTCTCCACCATTCCTCCTTCCACCATACACCTTACAGTCCTGGGCCTAAAACAACCTTTTCCACTATTCTTCTCCACCCCAACTCCCAGGACCTATTCGTCTTTACCAGGATTGACCCAGACACCCAACTAGCTCAACAACTAAGCTGGACAGTCCTCCCCCAGGAGTTTAGAGTAAGCCCATACCTTTTTGGCCAAGCCTAGCATCAGATCTCAAAAAAATTCAAGCCAGTGACATCATCTGTCATCTCACATGTCCATGACTTGCTCTGTTATAGTCCATCCCTCCCAACTCCTATCTCTGACACTGTCTCTCTCCTGAACTACCTTGGAAATCCAGGCCATAGGGTAGCATCCAAACAAAACCACAATCAATTAAAACCCAAGTCGCCTACCTCAACATCCCCCTTACCCCTTCTATCTGGAGCTTAACTCCTGAAAAAAAAAAAAAGACCCATTGCCACCTTACCCCTCCCCACCTCAAATAGGTCTCCTATCCTTTGTCAGAGTGGCTAATTTCTTGTCTCTGGATTCCCAACTTTGTCATTTTACTAGACAGCCACTGGGGACCCTAACAAACTTCTACTCCCAAAGCCCTCCCTCTCTCAACCCTCTATAAAACTCAAGTGGGCCTCACTATAAACTTCATCCATTTTCCTTCCCAGCCCCTCCAAACCCTTTTTCCTTTGTGTTGATAGCCACCAGGGATTTGCTGTTGACATACTCACTCAAACCAAAAGACCTGCCTGTCCTCCCATCACATACTCTTCCAAGCTAGATAAAACAGTGAAAGGGTGGCCTCCCTGCCTCCTCACCTTAATGTTATGTTCAGTAGATACAATAACCAAAGATGAATATGAGAATATAAGATAAAAAAATGAATACAAATCACTTCGAGCACCTCTTACAATCGCAGAGTCAAATGTGACTCGAATATTATAAACTTAATATAGTTTTTTCCTTTCTTAAATGTGCATATGCCTTTTTGGCACCCTCTGTAGTTATAAGTGATTCAGAAAAGAAAACACAAAATGAAAATTAAGTACCACAACAAAAAGAATACACGCTCATCATCCTCCTTCCCTGTAAACACGCACCTTTTTCTGTTTTTTAAGAGGCCAAGGCTCGGCGCCTGTAGCTCAACCGGCTAGGGCGCCAGCCACGTACACCTAAGGTGGCGGGTTCGAGTGCCCAGCCCGGACCCGCCAAACAACAATGACGGCTGCAACCAAAAAATGGCCGGGCGTTTGTGGCGGGCGCCTGTGGTCCCAGCTGCTTGGGAGGCGGAGGCAGGAGACTCGCTTGAGCCCAGGAGTTGGAGGTTGCTGTGAGCTGTAATGCCACGGCACTCTGCCCAGGGGGACAGCTTGAGGCTCTGTCTCGAAAAGAGAAAAAAAAAAAGAAAAGAGGCCAAGGAAGGGTTCAAATAGCATTCAAATAGACTTTCCCCCAGACAGCTGTGTGTTTGGATATACCATTGTGCATTGACTAGAACACGATGGCCATGTGGTTTTCTTTTCATTGTAAGTTCAATTCCAGGCCCAATAGTTTGTGTGTCATCTGTGCCCACATGATCATGGGCCACATCTGAACTCATGGTGGGTAAGTGTTGACTTGGGTGAGCCAGACTGACACATGAAGGTCCCTTGAGGCCACTGATAACTAAAAAAAAAATTAATCAGTTAGTGAAGTTCATACTTTTCATATCAGCCATTCGAATGAACAGGTTGGCAAGCTGAGTCCCCACTCGGGCTTCAAAGAAGAGACAAAAGGCAACAGGATTTTATACTGAATTGGGGGTCAAATATACATATTTAATAAGCTATAGGAGGAGTCATGAATATTTATGAAGGGAATTCATAGGCATGTAATTGTGCTTTATCTCTTCCATCCTGTCATGGCTGGGAACTCAGTTTTGTTTTTCATTTTTTTTAATTTCAGATTACTACGAGGGTACAAATGGTAAGATTACATTGTTTTCATTTCTAGGGTAAAGTTCAAGGTGTAGTTGGCTTGCCCTGAGTGCCTGGCAAGGACGGCAAAGATTTAACTGTGGGGAGGTATAATGAGGTGAAAGCATTTGTTCACCAGAATTCCAGGTGGCACAGGAAGGCATGTGTCAGAAAAGCAGACTGTGATGGCAGCAGCTTGGGGTTGGAGGTCTTGTGTGAAGGGGGAGGGAGGGTGCTGGGTTGGCCACAAGCCAGGAAGATGGTTAGGGGCTGGCACAGGGGAGAGGAAATAGACGCTTCCAATTCCAAGAGCTTCTGCCCGGAATGGGTGCAAGTTTGGGAATGAGCAAAGCAGGTAAAGAGGAAAGGACGATGTCTCTTTCCCCCTTTGAAACTGGCTCAAGGGCTTTAGTGAGCCCTGGCATTTCTTTCAAGGCTATTTTTCTCCCAGACTGCTGTTTCTGTAAGTCATTCAAACGGAGTCCTGCACTTTATTCAGGTTACACTTAACTTGATGGCTGAGAAAACCAAACCTCTGAAATGGGATCCAGCAAGTTAAGTGTCAGAGATGAGTCTCGAATCTCCATTCTCTCATTCATTCATTCTTTTTCATTCCACAAAACAAACAAAAACCACAAGCTTAGTGAACATGTTGTGTCAGGCATTATTACTGATAATGTTTATTCAGAACTTCATAAATGTCCCTACACTGAAGTATTTTCAAACACTAAGAAAACGTTATTAAATGCAATAAAGCTGTTTATAGTCATGCTTATGAAATAATTATGAGGACAAGGAAAGGAGAGAAACAAAACCAGGAAACAAAATTGCACAGACACAGGATTACAACTATTTAAAACTTTTAGATCATAAGATTTATAAAGTAAAGAATAGCAGGATGGACTCCAAAACGTTGATAGTGGCTTTCTTTCCCCCCACTTTAAAATCTTTTCTGAAGGCCAGCGTGGTGACACACCTGTAATCCTAGCACTCTGGGAGGCCGAGGCAGGTGGATAGCCTCAGCTCACAGGTTCGAGACCAACCTGAGCCAGAGTGAGACCTCGTCTCTAAAAAATAGCTGGGTGGGCACCTGTAGTCCCAGCTGCTCGTGAGGCTGACGCAAGAGAATCACTTAAAACCAAGAGTTTGAGGTTGCTGTGAGCTGTGACAGCACAGCCCTCTACCGAGGGTGACAAACGAAGACTGTCTCCAAAAAAAATATAATAAATAAAAAAGCTTTTCTAAACTTTTTGCGATCTATGTTACTATTACAATGTAGGGAGAAAACGCCTCTTCCTCTCCCTTGAAGGTTGCTAACCTTTATCTTAGCGATCCCACTCAGAGGAGTCTAGTTTTTTAAAGGAATCACCCAAAAAGCTTTTGGCACAGAGATGTTCATTTTACCACGATGTATAATTTAAAAAAATGTGAAATCACCTAAATGTTTCCGGAAGGGTAGGGACAGAAGCGCAGGGCTTGTCGCTTTCCAGTTTCCCATCTCCTTTCTCCTCCGGCTATTCCCGCTACCAATGGTGGCTAAGTCACGTGACTGGGACCGACCAATCACAGTGGGTCCCAGACTTATGCCCCGCCCCTTTCTTTTCCGGACTGAGTTTGCACCTGGGCTGCGGCCTCCAGCCTCACTTGGGACGCAGAAGCCTGCCTGGGTGGCGAAAAGACAGACATCAGACGACATCTTTGTCCTCTGGACCTGCACGCACCAGAAGCCCACTGTATCCTAAGCTAGTATCCTGCGCCAAAAAACTCCTTTTATTATATAAGCCAGTTTGTGTTGGTTTTGAACATTAAAACGGAAGGAGCGGTAACCAAGAGAATATTAGGTAATATAAGAAAGCAATACCTATGAAAACCCAAGGATAGCATTGAATGGTAGGAAATACTGCTAACTGAAAACAGCAAGGCATAAAGTCATAGCTCATAGACAAACAAGAAAACTGGAAATTAGAAAGAAGGAAAACTCAGGGGGCGGCGGAAACATGCATAACACGGCCCTGAGGGAAGATCCCAGACGGACATCTAAAGAGTCGAATGACAATGTGGACCGACATGAAGCCAGCACTTCAACCCCCAAAGCAAGAAAGTCACAGGAGGGAAATTCTGTAACCAGGAGTTCCCCTAGAGACCACACCGCCAGAGAAGCCGAATTTGCAGTATCTTGAAGAGCCTGCCGGTGACGGCCTCAGTCTCCCAACATGGGGTTTCTGAGAGCAGCCCCGAATTGTCTGTGGCTCTGGTTTTTATAGGGCAAAACTTTTCGGGAGGCGGGGGAGGAGGCAAGCAAACATTACTACAGAAACGCAAATAGCAGTTACAGGGGTACAGAGAATCACAAGGATAGGGCAGTTAATCATTTTACACAATGAGAGCGATTAGTGATTTTTCTTACCATAGGTACAAAACCACAGTGTCCTCAGGAGGGAATGCAGGGAGGGGAACTTACAGGTAAGGGTCTTAAAGTGCAAGATCATAAAAATCTATAATCAGGAGGGCTGTAATCACAAGCGTAAACAAGAGGAACCAGTTTTGAGGGTAATAAAATGGAACAGAGAAGGGGTAAACAGCAAAATGGAGTCCAGCTTGCTCTTTTAACATTTCAATATCATATATAGATGGTATGAAGACCCCCCTTAACATTGTCACCCTTAGGAGGTTATATGTGCTTATTTTCTACTTTCCTGGATTTAAAGAAAAGTATTTAATATCTATGTACTACTTTAAAAATAGCAGCTAATATGTAGAAAAGAAAAAAATATGCTTGAGATGAGTGAACTGGACAGCAGGAAAACTCCAGGTTCTGAAGTCCTGAAGGGAGTGAGGCTGGGGGATGCAGAAGGTGGGCCTCCTTCCTTCCCACTGGAGTGGGTTGAGCAGGTCCCAGGGACATCCTTCTGTGTGCAGATGCAAGGTTTGAGTCAGCAATTACTGCCAGGGTTGGGGAGGAAGAGACACAGAGAGGCAACGAGAAGGTAAGTTGAAGTGAGAACACAAAATGCCTTTCCCCCCAGGGGTCCTCCTGTTATACCTTGGCCCTGAGTCTAGAGGCTGGTGTAAGGAACCCCCTGCGTGCAGGTGAGTGAATGGGACTGAAGTACAGGACTAAATGAGAGAAAAGGGATAATGGTGGTGATGGGGGAGATGGCCTTCACCACACGTACTGGCCAAGGTTGATGGTGCCCTCTGAGGCGGATTCCTCCCTCCCAAGTCCCCCCGGACCTCCCATTTGGTAAGTTTCTGGGTATTTCCTCTGCTGGCCCCCGCCCTGGTCCCCTTTTGTTCCACTTAGAGGCTCTACCCTGGGCTCAGCTGGCCTTGGTCCTCCATGTTACCTGAGATCCTGCTTCCTGGTGTCTGGCTGGAGGCCTATGGCTCCCTCAAAACTAGATCAATCATGGCGGCCTCCAAATGTCTGCTCAGAGGCCATTTTTCTTGCATGAATTCCTGTAAAACAAACAACCACCAAACACCAATCACAGGAACTCTCCAAAGCCTTGGGTGCAGGACCACAGCGTTGGTAAAAGCTCAGAAATTAGGGTTCTTGGGTTTGGCATCCTGAGTCTCCCACTATCTGGCTTCAAGGACTGGGTGTGCTCCCGAAATTCAGATGTTGAGACCTAATCAGTGTGAGAGTTGCAGATACCAGGATGAAATCACTATTGTCAGATCCAGAAAAAATGAGGCTGGGAAGGCCCAAAGGAGAGGAGGCTCACCCATGCTTACATGTCTGAGATAAGAACCAAGGACTTTCTTTCCTGTGTCTCCTGCTTTGAGGAAGCTTATGGCCAGATGTTCCCTAGAACTGCAGTAATCCAGATAAGATGTTCAAAGGATAACACTTGCCTGGTAGTGTCACCTCCACCAATGAATTGACAATAACTCTGGCTTCAAACCTCTAGAACCAATGAACTCTGCTTCTAGGCAGCTTATGTAAATCTCTTCTTTGCCAATCAAAGTTCCCATTCCCCTCCCCCCACCCAAGGCAAGTGTGGTGTGCCATTGTATGCATTCTGGATTGTGATCTTTGTTTCTATTCCCAAGAAAATCCAACATATTTAGGGATATTTTCTCTAATGTCTTTTTTTTTAGGTTGACATCCTCAATGTGTTAGGGGCTCAGAAAACAAGTATCCCAAATTATGGCGCTTTGGCTCTCTGAATACTTTGAACAAATGTGATTGAAATGCCTCAGAAATAAGAGTCCAAAACAAAGTCTCTCTCTGGCCTGCTCCTGCCCCACCCTCATTTCCCTCCCCAAATACAAGGAGGGGCTCTCACTGAAGTTCCCTTACATGATTAAAAGAGGTTCCTCCTTGAATTCCAAGATTCCTCTTCCCTAGAATCTACATTAAGCAGCAAAGATTAATTTGTACAGCAAATTAATTAATTAAAGGAAGGGAGACTGAACATCTCTATGCCTTAGACACCACACCTGTTCTTCCGATTGTTCTTCTAAGGGCTGTTAGGTGAGAGACCGTATCTGTATGATAAGAACCTTTCCTGGCCACACACTTCCTCCTTCCTTACCCTCCACTCCCTATCAGAGCCCCGTTTCTTTCTTGTAGCTTAGGGAGCTAGTTAAGCTTTAGCTACATGGCCCTTTTTTGAGTTTCATATTTTGTGTCACTCCCATGTACTTGCACATTAATACATTTATATGCTTTTTCTCCTGTTAATCTGTCTATTGTCAGTTTATTTTACAGATTCAAATTATGGAAACTTCAAGGTATAGAAAGTTCCTCTGCCCCTACAGTAGAATTAAATGGTGGGGCCTTTAAGGAGGTGATTAAATCATGAGGGCAGAGCCCTCAAGAAGGGGGTTAGTGCCCTCATAAAAGAGGCCAGAGGGAGTGCTCGTTTGCCCCTTCTGCCACGTGAGGACACAGCAAGAAGGTGCTGTCTGTGACACAGAGGGTGAGCCCTCAGCAGACACTGAATCTTCTGCTGCTGGTGCCTTGATCTTGGCCTTCCAGCAGCCACCACTGTGAGCAATACATTTCTATCGTTTACAGATTCCCCAGTCTAAGGCGTTTGGGTTATTGCAGCCTGAACAGACTAAAAAATTTAGCAAGTGACATGACCTCCCTGTCTCAGTTATTGCAGCTGCTATAACAAAATACCACAGATGCATGGCCTACAAAATAATTTTCTCACAATTCTAGAGGCTGGAAGTCCCAGATGGAGGTACTCGCCCATTCAGGAGGGGCTCTGGTGAGGCCTGTCTTCTTCCCGGCTTGCCAAGGGCCACCTTCTCCCTATGTCCTCACATGGCCTTTCTCAGGTACAGGTGACAGGAAGGGCCCTGTTGTGTTTCATCCTCCTGATGTAAGGAGACCCATTCCATCAGATCACACCCTACCCTTATGGCCTCACTTGACCCTAATTATCTCCCAAAGGCGTCATCTCCAATACAGCCATGCTGGGGCTCAGGGCTTCACCATAGGAATTTTGGGGAGAACACAATTCAGTCCAAAACACTCCCTGAGGCTCAGTGTCCTCTTATTTAAAGCTAGGAAACAAATCAGTGGGAGAGTTGCAGATACCAGGATGGGTCTTAAAAACTGGGCCTTAAGGAATATCAGTGGGACAACAGAAGACATGACCATGTTTGTTCATGACAGGCACCCTCATATTCAAGGTATACTTGATAATATTTGGACCTCTAGAGCCACCATATGCCCACATCCTGAGGAACATTCCCCACCCTGGCCCTTCCCAAAGAGGGAAATATTGGCCTCACCCTCTCCAGCAGGCTCTCGTATAGCTGAGTGAGTTCTGTCAACTTCCTTTCCAGCTTCTGAGCCTCGGCCCTCAGCTCTTCTGCCAACTCCATCCTTGCTCCCTCCTTCAGTTCCTTCCAGTCCTTTGATACAGCAGCCAAGTCCAGAACAAGGCCGAAGGCACCCACTGCGCTTCCCAGCATGCGAGCATTTTTCGTCATTGCCAGTGTTGTGCCTCCAAAGGCCTTTTGCACCTGCTGGCTCCTTTGGGCTGAGACTTGGCCAGTGGTCATGAGGTTCTTGGCAGCATTGGCTAAGCGGGGATTGGCTCTGGCTTTCTGAAGGACTTGGAGGTTCTTCTTGATATTCTTGATGGTGTTCGCACAATCATAGGTGATCTTGCCAGCTTGCACAACATAGAACTCTTTGTCTGCCTCAGCCTCTCGGTCTTCAGTGTCAAGGATGACCCCTAGGTTGCTGGCCTGATCCTGGGCTTTTTTATTGTGAGAGCGTTCCAACATGCTGGTCAAGATGCTGGTGACACCAGCTGCTGCCCCCAAACCTTGGCCAGCACTGGAGAGCAGAAGACTTCCTCCTCCTGTTGCTGGAGCGAGGGCCAAACCTAGGATGCTCATGACTCCAGAGACGACAGCAATGGAGTTGGCCACCAGGCTGGTCTTGGTGAATGTTTTGTGAGTTGCATCAATATCCTCTGCAAGGGCATAGAACTTTCTGATGTGCTCTTCTAGATCTCGTTCCAATCTGGGAAACTCTCTCAAAAATATTTTTTCTTCAGCTGACAGTTCTACCTCTTCTAGTTCCTCATCTTCACTTGAAGGAGTGTCATCCATGTCTCTGTGGATGAGTGAAATAAAGATTTTGCTTCAACTTCCCAGATGGGAAAGCCCAACTCTTCCCTAGGCCCCGGTGGCTTCTGGATGTTCTTTTCACTCATAACTTCAAGTCTTCCCTGAGTCTCCCTGAAAAGTTCCCTGGACAGTTCTAGAGCCTCACTGAGTAATTCAACCTCTGCTGAAAACTACTTGTTCTATGAAGAAAGACAACATGTGAGAGGGACCTACAAACGGACAGATGAGGGTGACCTCAGCCTTGGCCAAAGAGATGAGGAAGGCAGGTCAGTCCTGAGGGGGGTTGTCAGCCTTGTTTAGAGAGATGATGGCACTGCCATGGAGGGAGGGCAATGGGGAACCACTAGAGACCTGCTCCAGATAAAGAACTTGGGACCAGTGGAGGAAGAGCCCCAGGGAACACAGGAGAAAGAGGACAGCAGGTGTTGGGGGGCTGGGCTTATATAGGTCCAGGTGAGCCAGAGGGAGATGAGGCCATGTAGTATAAGACATCCTCCACTTCAATGACCTTGAATTCAGCTACTCTGGGTGTGCCTTTGCTTCTATCAGGAGTTGAACGTTGAAAAGGTTGAGATAAATTATTATTAATGTTTGGAACATCTTCTTTGTTCTTGGCCAGCTCTACATGACCCATCAAGCAAAGAGGATTGGTCCTTCATGGAAGAACTTTGGGACAAAGAGGCAAAGAGGCAAAGTGTGAAGGACTTTGGCCTTCCTGGGACAGCAGTGTCAGCTGAAAGCAAAGCCCACAACTCGGAACACTTTCTCCTACCTGGGGCTTTTGTGCATTCCCTTTAGGCCTGGGGTTAGGGGGAGGGTTCTGATGACACAGATGCCCTGGCCCAGGGCAAACATCAGAGCTAGAGGGAGCTCTGGGGGGACCCAAGCCACCTCATTTTCTCTTTAGTGGAGGGAACTGAAAACCTCAGAGCACAGGGGGCTTTCCTCCATGTATATGGGAGGTGAAGACAGAGCTTTGGAAGGGGGTCAGAGCCTAAGACTCTGCTCATCCTCACCTGTCAATGTCAAGACTTCCTCCCTGAAGGGTGTGGGCACACGGAAATACAGTACCTTCCAAATAACCTCTCTCTCTCTATACACACACACACACACACACACACACACACACACAGTTCCTCCATGGAAAAGATTAGAAACCAAACATACCACCAAGAGAACCATTTAGAATAACTTTAGACCCAATTAATCGACAGATGTAAATCAGTTAACAGAACAGAAGGTTTTGAGGAGCTTGGGGTAGGAAAGGGGTAGAATGAAGGCAAAGGGGGTGCCCTGCCGAGGAACCCGAGACTTTTCAGATGCCACAGTCTAAACCTGTGTTCCACAGAGTGTGCTGGATAAAGAGGAACAGCAAATAGAAATGTAGCTGCCAAGGTCAACGATGCCACCGTGTATGAACTATGAAGTTTTGTTTCATGTGTTAAACCAAACGTCTCACGTGTGGACATCGCTGCCTCAGAATACCCTGTCTCAAGCAGTGACATCTGCCAGCATCACGTGAGAGTGCAGTCTAGTAGCATGAGACACCACACACCATTCACCTGCTGGACTCAGCAGGCATCTGTTGCCCACACTGTGCTGGAGGCTAGTGGTGCCATGTCTCTTGATTAGCCGGTAATTGGGCTGAACTTTGTTCATTTGTAACACTCAAGGGCTTCCTTCACGGTTTATGAACTAGGGGTGGCCTCAGCACAGGGTGATTTCTGACCTTAGAGTTTGGCCACCTGATGCTGTGTACTTGACTAAATCTTGACTTATTCTCCAAAATATTTAGTTTGGGGGTAGCGCCTGTGGCTCAGTGAGTAGGGTGCCGGCCCCATATACCAAGGGTGGCAGTTCAAACCCGACCCCAGCCAAACTGCAACAAAAAATAGCCGGGTGTTGTGGTGGGTGCCTGTAGTCCCAGCTACTTGGGAGACTGGGGCAAGATAATTGCCTAAGCCCAAGAGCCAGAGGTTGCTGTGAGCTGTGACACCACGGCACACTACCGAGAGCAACAAAATGAGACTCTGTCTCTAAAATAAATAAATAAATAAATATTTAGTTTGGGGCCTGACAAGGTGGCTCAGTCCTATAATCCTAGCATTCTGGGAGGCTGAGGCAGGTGGATGCTTGACCTCAGGAGTTCGAGACCAGCCTGAGCAAGAGTGAGACCCCCATCTCTACTAAAAAACAAAAAAATTAGTTTGGCACTGTGGTGGGCACCTGTAGCTACTCAGGAGGCTGAGGCAAGAGGATAGCTTGTGCCCAAGAGTTTGAGGTTGCTGTGAGCTATGATGCCATGGCACTCTACCCAGGGTGACAGAGTGAGACTCTGTCTCAAAAAACAAAAATTAGTTTCACTCTGTGGAATATTGTTTTCCCTAGAGGAACATATTTTCACATACTAGTAATGGAGACTAGTAGGGAGACGGCCCACATCGCCACTAATGCCCTCAGAGGGCGGTTATTCCTTGTCATGAGGGTGTCTGCAGCAGCCCAGCAGAGCCAGCCCTTTCCCAGGAACCCAGCTCTCCCGTTACCTTTGCAAATGAAAGCGAGCAATGCTGGCCTCACTTTCCTTCTCTGTCTCATTGTCCACCAGCTTCTGCAGCAGTAAATCCATGTCCCCACGAGTTGAGTGATATTCTGGTTGGGAATGTGGAAAACAAGGTTATTGCACATATCATGAAACGTTATGAAATCCAAGGACTTTCTTCCTCCCTTACAGGGATCACTCAAATAATCACCACCCAGATCAAGATACAAAGCAAGGCATTTGTACCCGCTCCGCCCCTGCAATGCTCACCCCACCCCAGAGGCGACCGTGATTCTTCTATTAACCACTGATCAGTTTACATATTCTTGAACTTTTCCTAGTGGGCTGTTATGAAAGTTTTGAGATTCACACAAATCAAGAAACATAAAGTCCACGTGGGCAGAAACAAATGAAGCCCTTGCCGGCAACATGGACAAGCTGAGCAAGCTGAAACATGCACAGGTGGGCTCGGCGCCTGTGGCTCAAGTGGCTAAGGCGCCAGCCACATACACCTAAGGTGGCAGGTTCCAATCCAGCCCAGGCCGACCAAACAACAATGATGACCGCAACCAAAAAAAAATAGCCGGGTGCTGTGGCAGGCGCCTTGGTCCCAGCTACTTGGGAGGCGGAGGCAGGAGTCTCGCTTGAGCCCAGGGGTTGGAGGTTGCTGTGAGCTGTGATGCCACGGCACTCTACCCAGGGGGACAGCTTGAGGCTCTGTCTCAAAAAAAAAA